ATAAACTGAAAAAACTGATTCATCTACAGCCTTCTCAGACTTCTTGGGCGGCTTCTTCCCTTTTTCAGACTTCTTTGAAGCAGCAGCTGCTTCAGCCCGTTTTTGTGCTGCAAGCTGAAGTTTCGCGTATGGAGCCACAATCTTTTGTGCAGCTGAGGGCGTGGGCGCATCAAAGTCCCTTGGCCTTGGAGACGGTGTGGTCAATGAGTCCTGCACATTGCTAGGTGGTGAGGCTAGATGCCACAAAACAACTATCCCAAGCCTTCGGCTTCTCAGACGCCCGACTCTGTGACTTGCGAGGAGGTTCAGCCTTCACAAAGTGTTGCAACTAGAACTCATTGGGTCAAAGTTGAGAAATGTTCCTTGTAGTCGGTTTTCTTCAAATCATCGCAAAAGCCTCTTCATTTCCCTCTTCATCATCATATTCTCCAAGACGTAGGGTTTTTGCTCGGAGCAAAGCCTCCTCCAACAAAGACAAGACATGGTGCGGCAATCTCAGGTTAAAGTGGCTCCTCATAGATCCGGATGCCCTCGCAATCTTCATCAGCTGCTGCATCCTCATAGGAGCCTTTGCGCAAGAGTTGGCCCAACAAACGAAACACGGTTGTTTCAAAGTGACAGTCTTATTCCACAAACTTCTAAAGGAAGGGTACTGGCCTGGGACATATGCAGAAGTCGCGTCCCCACAGTTCGCGGAAAGAGCCCATGCGATCTGGTCTTCACCTGCAGGTGCTGCAATTCAGATCCAAAATAACCCTACACTAAGATGGAGTGCAAAGCTCCCCTACCAAAGGGAAGCCCAAATAGGTTTAAACACTATGAAAAAATCTAGGGCAAACTATAGCCGATTTAGCCTTATTTGTTTTGGCCTCTATCGACCTCCCTTGGATAAGGATGCAACCACTGCTTTTTGCCAAGGTGCTGAACCATGATTCCAATTCCTCATACTGTCCTGAGGGTCCCAAATATTGTTTAAAGAACGAGTTGGTGTGATTGGCCAGTGTTTCTATGAAAGTCAAGTGGCGCTTCTGTTCTTCTTCTTCATCGAACCATGGGTCCCTGTTCTTCAAAGCGGTGAACCATTCCCAAGCCTGGCAGGTGCATGACGGTGTCTCAAAATAGGTGGAAACAGGGTGTGCCTTGTCGTTCTTCTTCCCAACCACTCCCTCACAAGAAACAAAACCAGAAGTGCACTGCTCGACCGAAGACCAGCCAGCCTCGTTCTGAGATTCGGCCATCTCATCGTCCTGGCATTGATCTTGAGACATCGTGTCACACCGGATCTTGGACAATTTGGCGGGATGAGCTCTTGGAAGAAATGGGGTGGGAAACTCAGGGCGTGTCCGACGGCGTGTCCTGGTAATGGTTCCAATACTCATCCGGGTGATCCATCCCATCCTCGTAGGGCCCAGCCTCACAAGCCACAAGATTCCAGTGAATTCTATCCCCACAAGTCTGGGCAGGCCTCCTGCTCAGAAAAGGCTGCCCCAGCCTTTTCCTGAATTTTTTGGTGGCAAGAAAAGAAAAAGCAATGGCCGGTTGATCGATCGAAGACTCCTCCCCATCGATGGCGTTGGAGATCGGGTTCCATGCAAGTTCGTCCTCGCGTTCAAAGCGCCATAAAAGGAAAGCAATGGTTTGTTGAAGAGTCCTCCCCATCATCCCCATCTTCATCTTTGGAGATGTTCCATGCCGAACCGTCCTCGTATTCAATTCGCCATGCCTTTTGACCATAACAGGTTAAACTACATTTGCTTGTCAAGTGGTTCAAAAGTGCATGAGCTTGAGCGTTGAGTCCTTCCAAAAGGTGGGCTCATCAAGATCCTGGCAAGTACAGGGGGATAGAATTTCTGTTCAACAGTTTTGCGCACCACATAACTCTGCTGGCCTCAAGCCACCAGTTGGGATCATAGCTGGGCCCGTAGGTGTGCCACCAATCGGCATTTGGTACCTATTCACACACAGAGATTGAGCGCACTTTGCGACTTGGAGCCCTAACTAGACATGTACTTGAAGTGCGCCTCAACACCAACTTCATCCTGTTCCTGGCAGGATTGAAAGGTTTACGAAGGGTTCAGATCGATGTCCCAGGGCACAGGCCTTCTTCTTCTCAATGCGTTTCTTTGGAACAGGAGGTGGCAACATCAGGCTGGCCTAGCGATGTTGTAGGTGCATACATAGCGCATGTTTTCATGACTGATTCTTCATTGTGGTGTCCTGATCTTTCCAAGATCCGCTTTCGAATCCCAATGGTTGTATTCTTACAACGCAAAAAGCTGGACACCACATATATGTAGTATTTAATATACAGAATAGAATACAGGAAAAAAGAACACACGTCAGGCCAGTTGAGGGAAACAGATGGGCCTGGTCTCCAATATCTTCATCACTGCGCCTCGATCATTTTGGAACAAAACATCAATCCGGGCCAGCCAAGGATTTGAGAAGTGGCCTGTTGCAAGCTGCTTCGACGGCAGCAATCTCCTGCACTTCCTGCCAGAGGGGCGATGACCAATCTGAGGTGATTTGAAACTCAGCTGCATCACATGTGCGCCCACCTCGCTCGACAGGGGCTGTGTCTCCAGGGCGTCCATTCTTGGAGCAGGGGCTTTTTGGTCAGGTACTGTGAGTTTGCGCTTCCGAGCCAGGACAAGTAGCGAGCACATTCGAATCCACTCATCCTTTGGCGTCACGCCTAAACCAAACTCTTCCCTCAACAAATTGCACACCTCACGAGCCAAGGCCTTCGTGAGAATCCTTCCTTTCCCAAAGAACTTGTTGATCCACCCACCAAAAAGCTGCCTCAAACTTGACCGCTTCAAGGAACCAAGGGGAAGCAACCGGTTGGTTCCATGAATGCGGGTTTGGTGGCTTTCTTCTCGAAGCCTTTTGGCAAGACGTTTTGCGATTCGTTCAGCAAATCGCGCGCGAACTTCCTGTTGTTTCCGCTGTCGAGAGGGCATGGCAACACTTTGATCTGGGCAGATCAAGGTTCAAAGGCTACGTATTCTTTCAAGATCTTTCAAGGTTGTTGGGGGTGATCCTTGTTTTTTACTACATGATCCTGCCCTATATATATACAAACTTTTGGGTCCATGTGTACGTACAGCCGCTTGAGCTAAATTTTGAAGGTTCATGATTCGAACACACTTAGAAAGCAAAGACCATCAAAAGTCCCATGTCCACCGGCCTCGATCTGAGGAATGGCCGGATCACATGGGTGTGGCAAAAACGATCGCTTCCGGCGGGCGGTTGAGATAGGATTGGGCTCCCAGTATAATAGATGAGTTTTTGAGGGTTGGACCAGAAAAACTTCATGCCCTAATAGACGAGTTTTTGAGGGTTGGACCATTGAAGGGAAACATCCTTTAAGTCTTATATATCGTATATTTTTGGGTTGCGAGTTACAACGACCATGCATGGTGAATGTCGTTGAGCCTGTGTTCCCCTGCGAAATGCACAAAACGAGAAGCCGCAAACTACAAAACATCCACGCACACCACAAAATCTTCCACCAAGCAAGTCAAAAGCAGACTTGCCAGCGCCTCAGATCGTAAAAAGCGGAGGTGTAGCTGAGCTAAGTTTGTTGGCCATGCGTTCACTTGATCACAAGGGGAGGTGTAGCTGAGCTAAGTGTTGTGGCAGTGGTTCACCTGATGTACAAGGGGAGGTGGTAGCTGAGCTAAGTTTTGTGGCAGTGGGTTTGCTTGATCATCAGGGGTCTATAAGACACTTGGCAAACTCTAGCTATAAGGCCGGTCAACCTCCGCTGGTTTGCACTCAGGCTTCAAGAGGGCGGCCTATCAAATTTGGCAACTTGGGAGGTGCCATCAGACAACACCTTGAGGCATTTCAGAAAATATACGGCATTGAGCACTGGACGAGTTCCACATGTCGCTCCATCTTGAAGGCATGTTTCGGCGTCATGGTACTTTGTCGTGCGCAACGCACGAAAGGAAACACAAAGTGCTCAAGAACTTTGCCAACCATCACCGGAATGGAGGCGTCACATGGGAGACATCGTTGCTGAAAGACGTTGTCTACCATGAGTTGTCAGGCCTTCGCGAGCATTCTTCGGTGCTTCGCGCCACTGTCGGACTTTTGGGGCCAAAGAGCCCTCCAAGCGGATGTTGGACAACTTCAGGCGTGTTGCTGGAGATTGCGGAAACCTTTGACAGGGAACACAGTCAGTGGTTGGTGCTGAGGGGTTCCAGTGCTCCCGCAAGGATGCTAGCGTGTGGTTGGTCGAGGGCCGCCTTGTTGTGGTGGGAGAGGTTTGGAACCACTTTCAGGTCAAGGACAGGTGCATCTCAGTTGTCAACCTCTGGGAGCACGTCCATGGATTCATTTACAAAGTTACAGAGAATCCGGTTGTGGTGGAGACGCAGTGTCTTCGTTAAGCGGTTCCTTACTCCAGGTTGGAGAGTTCTGCCATCGTGTTGTTGCCTGAACGAGCCCTGCGAGTGTAAAATATGAAGAGTGCTTGCAGTCATGTGCGACAATGCTTTCCCGTGGTGCATGTCGATGCAGACCTGGTTGAGACTGTGGTCCAAAACATGCAAGGATTGTTTTGTACTTTCATGTTTTGCAGTTGTAAGTGTGACATGTTCCACTTATATGTTCGACATGTTTCACTTAGTATGCTCACGATGTTGAACTTATATTGGCACCTGCATGCACCTGCAAACTTATGAGTGTCATAACTAAATATTGAAGATAACAACCGGATACATGTGACACAGTCCACTTACTAAGTCAGACAACACACATACAAAACATAAAAGACTTATATCCCAATATAGCTAGTTTGTAACCGTACATAGCATGCTTATATGATCTTATATGTACACATATATGTGCAATAACCACATTATCTAGATACTAACCGCACGCTCATTTAAGTAGATCATATTAGATCTAGCAGTCTCAGCATATATACTATGCATGAGAACTGGTAGTGTTCTTTTCTGCGGCAGACACAGGTTCTTGCGTCCACTGAGGTTCTTCCGAGGTGTGAAACTTTTTGTTCCCAGTTGCATGGTGGAAGGGCTGCGACTTCAGGCGCCGTGGGTCGCAAGCCATCGCGGTTTCAGAGGGCATGAAATCTTCAGGTGTGTCAACATGAAGTCACTGGATGGTGCTGACATGTCTTGACAAGCGGTCACCAAGGTTCGGTAATGATTCTGCATTTGGGTGACAGGCTGACAGGGAAATTTCATCATGACTTCAAGGCCGAAATGCGCCAGCGGTCACACGGTCCTTCTCGGTCCTTCTCGTTGGCAGGTGCTGTGTGGTGCCCACAGGGACCCCGTTCGACTCCAAAGGGACCCGACATGACACCGACGGGCCCAAAAACATCCGAAGAAGCAGACGCAATGCACCGCAGTGGTAGGACGAATGAAGAACCTTTGCATTCTTATCCCTGGCGTTTCTGCATTTGCATGGCTAGATGAAGATCCCAATAGGAACCGCTTCCATATTAGTTCTTGGTGTAGTGAATGGGCATCTCCGACATCTCCAGATTTGGATCGGACAGCATTTACCTTTGTGTTGGACACCGCCAGGCCCTAGCTCGCCATGCGCGGATCTCCGATCTCTTCCGGGGCTGCGGTGTCTCATGGGAGAAGAGGTTGAGCTTCAAGGCGGGTACGAAGATTGGGTTTGGATGGACGAGCAGATCGACCTCATTAGGACAGTCCATATTTCCTGAATCGATCTATGATGTCCACAGTGGATATTGGTTTGTTTTGTATTTTTGTGTTTTTTTGGGGGGGTTGGGGGGGGGGGCACCGCTTTGGGGGGGGGGGGGGGGGGGGGGACAGACAATAATTGGTAGGGAGATGTAGGGAGACATTCCAAGCAATGGGTTTTGCTGTTGCAACTGTTCTCATGCTGTATTGGGAAGAACTGGCCCTCCCCAAACATTTTTGTTGTTTGCTTTTTGTTCTGAGTTTTGTGAGGGTCTCCCTGTCAAGATCCGCTGATAGTGCATAAACTTGATCCTGCAGGTACCACTGTCAAGCAGCGGTTCCAAAGACTGGCTTGACACAACTGACATGCTGACTGCTGACCCAAATGGTTTCTATTGATTCATTATGGTAGCTTAATTGTTTAGAAGTTTAGAAGTGGGTATCTACAGTGGGATATAGAATTGATGTAGATGTTACCACGATCGGCATATCTGGAAGACAAGACCAGGTCTTCACGATCGAAAACGACCGAAAGGGACATGTCCGAAAGTAGAAGCTTCAAAGTGATGAGCAACATCTGTCTTTTGATGAAACACAGGGTTCCCCAAAAAAGCTTTTGTGGATGGAACAGATGGCTACACGCGGTTCATTTTTTGAGCTGCATCTATCCTTTCCTTTTTGATACACGGGTTCGAAGCACTCGTAGTTTGGTGTGCTTGTTGGTAGATGCCAAAGGACGGTATCCTTGAGGCGATGGCATTTGAGTGGCTAGCCGGGTAGCTGTTTGGAGTTTTGGTTTGTTTGCTGATCCACCATTGACTTGTACTTTTTGAGGGATGAGACATCAGTCAGTCAATTTAATCCTTGGAGATTGTAGATTGCTTGCTACATGCAGGGGAGTCTCTCGCTTACCAGCAATCCGTTCCACATTGGAGGCCTTCTCGAACCTTTTGGAGAAGTTGCAGATCAAGTGTGAGGAGCACATGGGGGATCGGAGAAGTGTCATGCCGCTTCAGCCTTGAAGAGACTCTCTAACATTCACAATGCTAGAAGCTGGTGTGGGAAGGGTGTGGTCATATACGTCCGAACATGTCCGAACCAACTCGACAATAATCTAGGTGTTCCTTCAAATCATGATCGACACTTGCAGTGTTTGGAACAAGATTGATGGGCTGAAACATTGGGGCAGCATCCCAAAAAATGTGTTTTTTTTGTTTTTCCGGGTTTGAACTGCCATATGAGCAAAGACATTCACCTGTCCCTTGAGAGAGATTTAGTGTATGTTATATAATTTGCTACATGCCTGTATATCACTCTCCTCAGCCAGGACTCATGAAGGTTATATAATGGTTTGTTGAAGTCCTGTGTCGTCAAAATCCTCAACTCCTTGGTCAAAGTGTGCGGCAAGCAAAACACAATACAGAGTCAGATGACCAATGAGACAGGTCAGTGGTGCTGGAAGAAGACCTGGACCGCTGAAACTAGTGAGATACTGTATCATCAAGTTCTCAGATTCTCAGATGGTAGTGCTGCTGTTGAAAGAAGAACTCCTGCACTACTGTGATTTCCTCACTTCCACCTCACAACAGGCTTTCCTTCAACGATTTCCACCGTTGGTCAGCTAGGGGTCAAAGGTTCATTCCTTCCTCCATAATTAACCAAAACAACCACCAGCAAAAACCAACCCAAAACACTACCTCCAAAGGTGCCCGTCGCTCCGAGCCGTCCTTCCGTATGACGGACTCTCGCGCGCGTATTGCCGTGGGCACTGAGCCGAATGCTGCTGCCTTGCCCGGTCAACGCCGTGGCCGCAGGAGCCACGGGATGCCTTCGATTTCTTGGACGTGCGCAGTTGCGGCACGATCTCCTTGAGGGAAGCTGGGGAGTCCCAGAGAAGTGAGGGGAGGCACCCATATGCCACCCCCGGTGTGGATTTTTGGCAGCTGGCTGCGCTCCAAGAAAAAGAGGTGAATGATAGTGAGTTGTTTTGATGTTGTTTTGTTCTTTTTGATTGTTCTCCACCGGTGGCTTGAGCTGATGCCCGAAGACCCTTGCTTGAGACCACGAGGACAAACATCCGACACCAACAAACACGTCTTTTGGAAGACCAGCAGGCGGGTGGTTTTCTGTCGGGGAATGGAGGTGATACCCCGAAAAACTGTTTGCAGAACTACATGATTATTCGAAGCCCACGGGTCAGATGACGCAGCCGGCAAAAGCATGCCTGGAAGATCCTGGAAGATTATTGATGTTTCTCCATTTTGTTTGACCCGACCTTGCAGGTCTGTTGTGTTGTTTTTGAATTGTGTTTCAATATGTTTTTTATATGTTGGAAGGATCACCCTCATTGACTGATCTTTCTTAAGGATGGTTTATATCACCACCCGGAAATGAACACTCTTACTCAATTGCACAAGTATAAATTTATTTGTCAAACTTTGTATGTCACCACTTCCAAGCAAGTCAGAATGTACGAAGTCCCAATCATTTTTAAACAAATATGTGTTCGATCGATGGTGTGCAATGTTCCTCATGGTTTTCGGAATTGCTAGGAACGGTTACGTCTCTTGCATCCCTTCATGTGCATAATTATTTGCTTTAGTTTGCTTTGTTCCTCTGAGATGGTACTCGTTTATTCCATACTGTAGCCTTTTCGGCTGTGGCTTCGGCTGACACACGTCATCCGAACCGCACAGCCCAGGTAGTGGCGACACTACAAAATGTGATGCCCGGAACAAAGGACTGGCACGTGTAAATGGGACGAACAGAATTTGTAGGTTAAGCGTCAATCGATTTCTCGAATGAATGAGCACATGGTTGAGTGATGTTGAATGCAAGTAGATGTCCTTCTGAATGGATTGACAAAAACAGTTGGTGCTGATGGTCGAGGCAACTGGAGGGTCCCACGTTTGCCTATCTGAGGGTAGTCGCTGGATCCCCAAGGATTTGGCTTTGGGTGGATTCCGAATCCCAACTGGCTGTGGCTGCGGTTTTCGTGGTTTCCGCTGTTTTCGAACGCTCCAGGAACGCTCCAGCCTTTGGGAGTGCGACCGAAAGGCGGAGAAGGACGGGGGAAACGTGCAGAGCAAGGGCGACGGTGAAGCCTTAAGCCCTACTCTCAAGCAAAGGCGAAGGTGAAGGAGGTCGTGAGATCTCATTTTGGGGCTACAGCAGCTGACCCAGGACAGACACAAGCTAGGGGTCCCATGTCTAGTTCCTTGATGGGTGCTTGACATGTTCCTGTTCGACATGTTCCTGGAAAACCAAGTTGCACTTGACCCCCACTGACCAGTTTTTCTGGCACCACCACATTGCACGGGTGATTTGAGGGCCACATCTGAGTGTTCTTGCTGGCTCATTGCTCAGTAAGCTCCGGCGATGCAGCTCACAACCTGTCATGACAATCCATGCGCTGTTGCACTGCGCCGGTGCACTGGAAGATGTATCATTGTATATATAGAGAGAGAGAGGCCCAGTACTGTACTTTATAGCTTAGAACTTGAAGCTGGTTCATCAAAACATGTTTTTTTTTGTTTCCCACTTGACCTGCTCTTCTTCATCCATCTGGTCCATCCCCCTCAGATCCTCTTCTTTCTATTTGAGACAGCTGCTGGGTGACCTCCGTTCTGCCCGCCAGGACGTGCGCGCATATCTGGCACCACTCCATCGGACGGCCGGGGACCCGCTGCCGCTTCGCGGCTCGTGACGTCAGTGACGCCAAGCCGGCGGAGCACGTCACGAGCGGAGCATGTGCGGTTCGGAGCAGTCACTGAATACATGTGAGAACCTTATGGTTCTTGGAACTAGTGTGTGTGTGTGTTTGCATGTGTTTGTGTGCGTGCCGGGTTTGAAAAGAGCCTTTTTTGTGTCGGCTCTGCAGCTTAATTGGGCTGATGACCCAAAAGCAAAGCTGGTGATTGCTGCTGGCCCCGTCACTAGCCCATGTGAAATTCAGGTTGTTTGTGATTGTTGTGTGGCAACATAAGAGCAAAAAGTCCGAATACAATGGACCCTTTGAGTACCCAAACCAAAGTTTAGAGCAATTACAATTGTGCATCCCGATCCATCCGATCCTCACAAGATCTCACAAGTCAACTTCCCTCATTGCATCATTCCAATACCCTTCAGAGACTCCTTCGTGACAAACCCTGGGACTCAGTGTAAGGATGTAACTGCTGTAAGAGTGCTTTCCTCATTTGGAGACAAATCAAACAAATCCATCGACCCCAAATCTTGAAGTGGGGTCCACGGACTTCTTTAAAAAATCCCTGGGATGTTCAGCCATCGAGATCTTTTCCATGTTGTTTTGAAGGAACTGAAGGATGTATCCAAAGGAGTCCGTCGACATGTCGAACATGCCATCGATGTCGACCACCGTGACCGGTGCAAACACGGCACCGGTGCCATGAAAGCTGAGGTGACGCAACTGAAGACCACCATGAAACAGGACATCGAAGAGGCCCACTAAGTCGTGGATGGAGACGTGAGTATAGAAGATCGTTGAATATTTGTTGGTATGGCAGAAGGATCGATGAGAAGAATCACTGAGAACGACTGAGCATATGGAGAGAGACCTGCAGAATCATGTCCACAGTTTGGGACATGTTGACAGTTTGTGCTAGTCAACAGTGGAAAACACCCGATTTGGAGGTCAAGGCCGTGTTTGTTTTTTCGGTGTTCTGCTTGGTGGTCGAAACGCTTCGGTCCAGGATTCGGTCCAGGCCTGGATGGCATGGCATGTCCCTGAAAGGATCATTTTAAGACCAAACAGGTGGTGAATCACTCAATCGGGATTATTTTGAGGAGCGTCCCGTTGTTTGGTATATGTACGTATCATATCATTCCTCAAGTACCCCACCATGTGAAAGGATGGACGGATGGACCGCTACGTCGGCTTTGCATGTTGGACTTTTTGGGGTGGTGGTCTATGTCTCGGAAAATCCTCCAGTGTATTGGACTCGACTTCCATTGACGTTCGATGATATTCTAGATGACAAACGTCCGGATGATCAGGATACGAGATGCTTCGGTGAAAGATCTCTTCTCAGTCGACTGCACGTGCCTATCACTGTGCAGACAGGTAGACTACCTCAAAAGAGCTTGTGTTAAGATGCGTTAAAATGTTTTCTAGAAGAAGAAACCCGAAATCGGATGATGTTAATTCCCTTGAAACTGATGATCGATCTTTGCTTGTCGAGCCTGGTGAGTGTGGGGGGGCTTGTTTCTCCATCCCTCCACGGACAGATGACCAACACCCTATAGATGTCATATAATTTATGCCATAATATAATATATATACATATATCATACACAATATTATTATGCTTTTTGTATGTATAATATGGTGTTTTCTACTGTACGTATTGAGGATGTATGCTAGAGTCTAGAGAGGTGCAATGTGTGTGATGTTGGCGAGAGGGTGCAATCAACTACACTGTTTGAGACATGATTTTGGTTTGTCCTGTTACCTGCAACAGTCAGTAACAAGTATCACATAATATCACTATAATTTGTACTAAGCATCATCATCCACCTTTACTGGTACTTGGATAGACCCAAGACATTATGATAAACATTTAATCTTCACTCATCCACTTTCGAAGAAACACGTGTGTGTCGCCGTTACCTGTCTCGTAGGATGCGCCGCCCTCGCCCGTGATCTATACAGCATCCCCAAGGAGCCGGATGGAGGGTGCTGCAGAGGAAGGAAACTGGTGCATCTATAGGTTCGTGCCTCCTTGATCATTTAAGAGCTGCCCAAAAGTGTCCCCCCCAGATCCATTTGTGACGTGGAATTCAACCCGCATATAACTTCCTCGAGTAAACGGCCCGCAATCTTAACTGTGGCCTCCCTGTACACGGAATGCCATACCATTGCTAGCCTTTGAGTTCTATATATACATGCAGTAAACCCTTGAGTTAACCTTATGGGGATCCAGTTCCTCTACAAAACGGGTTACTATAGGTCACTTCATAAGGCCCTTAGACTGGGAATATGTGACTATATTTTGGAGCACTAGTTGATAAGGCATTTAATCAAAAAAGATAAATCACATGGGGTGCAGGTCCAGGTAGATTGAGGATGTCCGCGCAGTCAGCTTTCATGGTGAAGGAGGGATGTTGTATTTGTGTTTTACCTGGAACACCTTGTGTCCTTCTTTTATGCAACTACTGCAAAGTGGTTGGTTTTGGGTTTGGAAAACTGCTAATCTGAAGCTTGTCTTTGCTTCAAGCACGTAATGTGTGTGCCATGTTCTAGAGCAGGCTCTCTATATATTGGATATGCATGCATGGTTGGTAATGTAATTTCATAGAATAGTGGCTTCTTTCACTGAGTCACTGAGATTTTGTTGTGTGGTGTTACTTAAAACAATACTCATGTGCTTGGCCAATGCTGCCTAGATCAAGCCTGCCTATTGTGTGACAGTTAGCCCATTTCACAAAAGGTGGGTACGCTCCGTTACAACATGTTACAACAAATTTGCTGGTATATTCAGTTTATAGCAAAGCGTTGTTTATAAAGTGCATAATTTGCAGCCCAAAAGTTACTGTAAGGTAAGGGGTACCATACAGTATGTCTTCAAAACGAATATATGAACGGCTCTGGTATACCTGGAAGACTTTACTCCATCCAAATTAACTGTCAGGCTGACTCACTTTGTTCGGTGCCCGTCGGCCTTGCATCTTTATGATCGCAGCATAAGAAGCGGCTTCCCTGGCTGCTTGGAGTGAGTTGACTTCGACTTTAGTGTGATTTGGGTGTCGGCCGAAACCGAGTGCACCAAACCATGATGGCTTGACACTCCAGAAGTCCATTCTACTCATTTTGGACACAGCAGCAGCAGCGGCAGCAGATGCAGTAGATGCAATTTCAATTTGCGTGATACCATCGCGACAAAGACGACCAGTACCAACGCAAAGTACCGTCAAAGGATCAGCAACTTACGCCCACAAATAGCTTGCGTTCTTGATTCTTTGGTGGCTAACTGGTCGCTTGGACGAGAACAGGGTGGCACAGTACCTCTTTGATCGAAATCTCCCTGCGACTGGCACAAGGAAAAAGACTGACCAAAGACGGCAGCACATCGGGATGACATAGCAGGCCCTCCCAAAAGAGCAGTTGTGTATGTTGTATAGTATGTAGCGGTATTGCCATTGACATTTGTTTACTTGAAGACAATGAACACATGGCAAGTGTTTTCAAGTGCCCAAACATTCCATGTATGGAAGGAAGATTGGCTACATTGGGATTGTTTGAGAGCTCAATGTAGGCATGCATTCCAATCATATGAAGTGTTTGTCAGCAACAAAGTAATTTAGTGCGAATGGAAGTGCAGCGACACGTACAGTGCAACTTGTACATATATATGTACCATATGTACTTTGGCTCAAGGATCAAGCGACTAGAAAAGGTGCGGTTTCCGTTCCGACGCTACGCCGCTTATGGACCGTCAGTGATAGCTTCAAACTTCGCTGATTAAGATCCACTCGCAGGTTATCAGCCGTACGCGCTCTTTATAGCCGTACGAGCTACACGAGACCAAGAACAAGACTAGTCATTACAGAAACCTGCAATGTCAAGCTCAGGAGGAAATGGAAGCGAACCCTATTCATTCGCTGCTCCTGGTGGTCCCAACACCATTTCGTCACCAGACTCTACAATGGGTACTGATTCATCAGCAAATGCTGACGTTATCACTATGCCTACTGGATCACAAATCTCGGAAAGATCCGTGCCACCGGCTCGGAATCTGACCGATCTTGCACCCGTAGGACCAAGAAGATCGATGAGAGCTACAACAAGATCTACATCGCCTATAACGTCTACCGCGAGATCCCCAAGAAGGAGTATAGAGAAGAGACGTGACGATGATAGAGGAACAAAAGAGCAAAGAAGAGAGATTCAGCTGGGTGAAGAATTGAGATCGGCGAGAAACGCATACAATTTTCTTCATGAAGAATATGAATGCATCCAAGCCGGATACTCACGACTACACCACGAGGCTGAAGTGGAGTTCAGGCAAATGTCTGACTACAACAGGAAGATGCAGGAACATCTACAAGAGATGACACAGGAAGATGAAGGAGCGACAATAAGAATTGAAGAGCTCGAACACAAGCTACGCTTGGCGGAATCGACAGCTGAACATATCTACATGAGATATCAAGAGCTTGCACAAGAAACTCATCAAGAACATTCAGAGCTTGAATCTGTGAAAGCAACGAAGGACAGAATGTCCCAAGAGCTTCAAGCAGCAATTGGACACATCCAAGAACAGAATGAATCTTCATTGGCGATCAATAGAAGATCAAAAGCCATTCAGGATGAGAACACAGCCTTCGTCGGAATAGCTGATCAGATACAAGCTAGAATGATTGCGCTACAGGATGAGAATGTCAACATGCACGAGGTGATCCAACACCAGAGAGAAGAACAATGGAACAGTGAGGTCAGGGAAAGACGTCTTCAACACAGTGTTCACTCATCTCAAGATCAGAGCAATCAGGAAGCTATGGTTATTGATTATCTACGAGGTCAACTAGCTATGGCACGTGGAGCTGAACTCAACGCGAGAGCGGAGATAGGAGAGATGGAAGTGGGCATGAGGATGGAGATGTTTGTATGCCAGACTGAAGTCTCTGCTAAAGAAATGGCAGAAATGAAGGCGAGCCACCATGAATACGAAGCAAACGTCGCAAAGGAGGTTATCGCAAAAGGAGAAATATTCAACAACGAAGTCCTAGAAAGTTCCATCCGTGAACGACAACAATTGAAAGACGTCAACCTCGCTCTATCCGAAGCCAACGCACAGCTGAAAAGAGAGAATATGATGAGAGCTCCTATGTTCGGCGATGATGGTGCTGAAATTCAACAGAAGATCAGAGAACTGGAGAATGCACTATTGGAAAGCCAGAAGGAGACAAAGAATGTCATTATGGAAAATGCGAAATTAAAAGCAGAAGCACGAATGGCACCCATAGTCTCTCGGTACAGCAAGCGTCCTAGTTCCAGAGACCGCGGGTTACCAACCCACGCGTCCGAGGAAGATGAGATTCGGAACGCAAAAGAGGAGGCGAAGCACTACAAGGACGGGTACAATGAAATGACAGAGAACCGAGATGAGATGTATGAATGGTATGCCGAAACCCACAATGAGTACGCCGAGGAAAGGGAGAAATCAATTGAGCTATCCGAGGCGAACAAATCATTGAGGGACAAGATTTCAGAAGCAGAAGCATCCTCTTCATCTCATCTTGCACCGGCAACCTCTACAATCATGAAAGTATCGAGGAAGGAAGAATCAAAGATAAACGTTCCGTCATGGCCCAGGATCAATGATCTTGGACTATGGAAGGCAAATCTCATTCAATCGATCATCATTGCGGCCAATGATTCAGATCAAGAGCCCTGGATCGACTGGATCAAAGAAGCCATGGACGATCCTGATCCGGACAAGTTTGTCGACTCAGGAGACCAAAGATTCCATTCAATCGATGCCAAACTCGGCCTAGCTCTTACCAAGGTCGTCATGGATGCGAAAGATGATGGTTCAGGTGTAGCTATGAAGTTGAGGACGAGGATCAATGCAAAAGGGAGAACATCAAGCCTCATAAAGGGAAGAGAGGTCCTAGCCCTGATCCTTATGAATTTCAAGACAACATCAAATGTGGAAGTCTTATATACTTCAATGCACCTCTACCAACTAGAATATCAAGGAGACAAGAACTTATCGTTGTTCTTCCACACTTGGGATGAGATTCTGGCAGGAATGAAGCCCGTTGACGTCCCGAGCGACGAAACTCTTCGGGATCTCCTATGGAGAAAAATCAGGAACTCAAACCTCATGGCATACGACATCAGCGCCTACAACAGCATGAACGACGATGATGCCAAGAAGACATACAAACATCTACGTGATATGATCAGAAGGCACATCGAACGGCAAACTGAAGACAGGATGATCCTGGAAAAGGAGAAGGCAGTGAAGAATGTGGCCAATATCTTTCAGAATCTCAAACCAGGCGGACCTGCTCCAAAACTGAAAGCTGCACCAGCTGATCCGAAGAAGAAACCAAAAGGGCAACATGAACAGGTTGTCTCAGAAGACGCTGCTGCAGTGAAGCCGAAACCCAATCCCAAGAAGCATCCTGAAGACAAGAACAAAAAGGGAAAGGGGAAAGGTAAAGGTGATGGAAAGGATCGCAGCCGAAGTCCGAGTACAGACAAGAAGAAGATACCATGCAAATACTTCGTGAAAGGTAACTGCACTATGGGGAAAGATTGCCCATTCAGTCACAAGAAACCCAGATCACCATCCAGAGGATCTTCTGTCGGAAAGAATGATAAGCCAGTATGTTGGATGTGGATTCGAGGAACTTGTGACAAAGGGAAGGATTGCAAGTTCTACCATGACCCAAAAGCCTCTCCTAAGAAAGGGATATCTGCACCAGCTGACTCAGGAGACGATAGGCCAAAGCCCAAGGCAAAACCCAAACCGAAGCCTAAGGCGAAGCCTGGAGCCCCAGCCATTGACGGTGAACTCTTCATGGACGAATCCGAAGATGAAGGGATTGCTGCATCCGCCAAGGCAAGAGAAGGAGGTGCAAAAGTATCCTTTGATGAAGAGACTTGTGAGATCATGTTGAACGAAGCGATCTACTCAGTCAGGGACAAATG